GGGTGATTGTTTTAAATAGTGGTGGCAAAGCGGGCGGCCAGGCCCGGCCCGTCCTGCCCCTCAACCATCAACTCGCTAAAAAATGAGCCAGTCCGTCCTGCTTCACTTTTGAAATTGGACTGAAAAACTCTGTCTGTCTCGCCCTATTTGGTGGGTTGGGCGGATTGGCCCGTAGCCCAAGCTTATTTTACACTGACCCGCCTCAGCCCTCATATGCCCGCCATCAACCCATCAAAAAATAAGTCTGCCCCGCTCTATTTTTGTGATGGGTTAAAAAATTTAATCCATGCCACCCCGTTTAGCTGATGGGACCGGTTGGCTCACCGAGCTAAACCCGTTTTGTCGGCTCAATTTTAAGCCTCATGCTATAATCCTTTGACGGTAATGAGTTTAAGTTGTGTATATGAAGTAAGGGATTTGATTTTCTCATGTTGAATGAGAATTCAATTCTTATGTTGTAGAGATAAAAAGCATGTGAGACCCATGTGTTAGAAAAAATTATATGTAAAATCCATGTCAGTACGAAAATCGAAGAATGTATAGAAAAATTTGAATTCTCATGTTGAATAAGAATTATAAAACCATGAAGTAACGGGTACAGTGAGGGTGAATGTGGTAGAATGCATTGTGCATCGAGAGTCCTCCCAATGGGTACTGTAGACATAGCAAAGGGGGAAGCCCCCAATTGGCGGGAGCCCAAATATGAAATCGGAATATATACCCAGAACAAAATGTAATGGTTGAAATTAGATAAATGATTCATAAATGACAGATACGAATTATATGTAGCTATTTTATATCTGCATGAGATTTTTTCAATTAAATATATTCCATTACATATTAAATTATTTAAAAAAATAAATTAATAAATCAAGAGCGAAAAAATCATAAAGTGCTCTTCTTGTAATTGTTTTTCAATAACTCTATAGATGATTTGATGCATTTAGAATTAGTTTAAAATGTGTATGCGTATACATTATTTTGAAATTTAGGTGTATCTTTATTTTTATTTTAATTATTTTCTTAATTTAGATGTATTTAATGTTGATTGATTTGTAATTAGTTATACTTAATTTTTTATTTTTAAAAATTTATAATTTTGAATTAATTTATAATCAATCTATAAAAAAGTGCTTGAAACCCTTATCGTAAGAGTTAAATATTTTGTTATTTTGATAATAAAAATTAAGAATCGAGTGAATTTTTTTTTATTAATCCTAATTTTATTTTTAACCACATTTTTTATGTGCTTTAGGCTTCATGATTCATATTGCAAAAATGACATAGCTAGAGATAAGATTTAAAAGATTTTCGGGATCTAAAAATTTATCTTTAACCGTTATCTTTGACATAATGGCACTGTCCTCAATATGCTAATGGTAAGCTGCCCAACCCCATGGTAAACCTTACTATAAGTCATGGGTTTTATAATTCTCATTTAATATGAGAATTACAATTTTTCTACACATCTTTCGATTTTCGTGTTGACATAGGTCTTACATATAATTATTTCTAACACATGGGTCCCACATACTTTTTATCTCTACAACATAAGATTTAATTCTCCTTCAATATGAAAATTATAAAACCCATAAATCATTATGCTATCAACGTTAACATAATCAACACACAAAGACTTAGGTGCTGTGGCTGCGATGTATCTTTAATCTCTTTTTAACATGGTCATCTAAAAAATCTTAATCATTTATTAATAAATAAAAGTTAAGAATTAAAATATTTTTAATTTTAATAATTTTGATTATTAAAATTGTGATTGTTAATTTATAAATGAATGATTAAGAATTTTCATAGGATCAATTTCTATGTGATGTCACAAGGTTGGTGGTCCAACTTCTTAATGCAACTTTTCCATGTCGCATGATTTAAATATATGAATAGAACATGATGGAACTTTGGCCCCTTTGACTTCAAACCCCAATTATATAATAAGTGACGTGAAGAATCTTAAATTCCCCTAATACGATTCTCACAATGCATAAAAATTCAATTAAACGTTATATGCATGAATATATACTTCTTATGGATAGCTTTGAAATGTTGTGGTCCAAGACTTGTATGGCAACACCTCTTGATTTCAATTCTCTACTAATTATATATTTGAAACGGGGAGATTAAGGAACCATATGAACAGCTTTCTTTAGTAGCAGTAAAGATAATAAAATGTTTCCACACCGAAATAGATTATACATTTCTGTTCATTTTAGAAAAGTAAAATCTTCGGGTAACTTTTTTTCCTTAAAAAAAAAAGTGGAACATATTTCAAATAGTGATTATCTCTAAACGTAGTAGGGGTGTCAATATGGGTTGACACGACACGAATTTGACACGACACGAATTCGACACGACACGAATACATCAACACGAACACGACACGAATTTTCATTCGTGTCAAAATCTTCAACACTGACACGACACGAATTTTTTGCGGGTTGACACGACACGACACGAATAACACGCAAAATAGGGGACAAAACGGTAATTGACAAAAAAAATTTAAAAAATAGATCGAAAATAAAGAAAAAATTATAAAATAATAATAAAAAATAAAAAAATAATAATTAAAAATAATACGGGTCGACACGAACACGAATTCATAAACACGAACACGACACGAATTTTTTGCGTGTCATTTTTTCCAACTCGAACACGACACGAATTTTTTTACGGGTCAACCCAAACACGAATTTTCGTGTCGTGTCGCGGGTCGACCCGCGTGTCAAAACCCATATTGACACCCCTAGTCTTCTGCTTTTCTTTTCTTTTTACCTCCAGTTGGTTTTACAATATTTATAAGGGTTTTATTAGTGTTATGTTATATGATTTAAGTGTTGTTTTCAATACACACAAAAAAATGAAGAGAGAAAGTGGAATGATGAAAGAAAAAGAAAAACATGTGGACTCCACCTCTTTAATATGTGTGTAGGAAAGTGATGTTATATGATAAACATAAAACCCTATTTATAATTAATAAATATTCCCAATATATATAACAAATATTTTAAACTTACGTAAAATTCAAAAAAAAAAACTTGAACAAAATATTTAAAATTATATAAATATGTTTATAATTAATTTAAAATAATTTTAATTTTAAAAAGATAATTAAGAATAATATATATTTGTTTTTAAGGGAGAATAGATTAAAACAATAAGTCATCTTAATATAGTGTATTTTACTTTAATATTTAGGATTGGAGCGAGTCGAGTGACTGAGATTTGAGGAAAAAAAGCGTACATTTTAACATAACAAACTAAAAAATTAATTTAAGAATACAAACAATGAAATTTGAGGGGCGAAAAACAAAAATCTTGATATAAAAAAATTGAAGGTAAATACTTATTTTTGAGTTTATAAAAAAATTAAAAACAATAAATCTAAGAAAAAAGAAGAAGATTGTCTTATTTTAAAAGAAAATTTTTTATTTTATGATATATGAAAAGACGACGCTTTTTTAACCCTAGACTCTGAACCTATTCCCTCCATCCTCCAAATAATGGAAAATTTTTCAGTACATCGAATGAACCCAAATAGGTACATCATTTTTTTTTAAAAAGGAAAATTTTCTTCTTATTTAAACTCTCACTTTTATCTTTATTTCAATCTAAATCCTTTTTTTTTTTTGGATCGCTATATGGTGCAGGGTAGCACCAAAGTTTCACTCCAATTAAAGAGAGAATAAAAAACACATTCAGAATAATGACATTTCATTAATAATTCAATACATTGGAAACTAGACTTGACTTTCAAAATGATCTAAAGTGTGCTTGAACTTTGAATCATTCATTTTCTTCGTGTGTTAATTAAGGTCCTCAATCAGTATAAAATTATTATTATTATTTTTAGCCACTATGAAACTAATTCTGAGTCGGACTTAGTCATATTTAAAACTTATCGTTCTCTTCAAAAATAATATTTGGTGGAAATTGAACACAAATTTTCTCCTCACTTATTCAGTTGTCAACTGAGTTACATCCATTGGGTATAAATTATAGGATAGGATAGGATATTCTATCTATCTTTTTTATGTTTACCTTACTTATTTATCTTTAACACTGTTAGATCAGAATCTCAATTAACTTTCATCGTTTCTCTCTCCTTTCAAGATTCTGATTCAATGTTTATTCGAGATGAATAGGTAGAGTAGTCATAAAAAAATAAATAGAATAATCTATCTCATAAAGGATAAATTATTCTACTTATCTTTTTTATGCCTACCTAGTCTATTATTTTTTAATACTATTAGATTATTATCTCAATTAATTTTTATCATCTCAACTAATATCTAATAGCTATATTGCACTGACACCGATATAGGACACAGAATACGACACTACACGACACTCCAACACGTTAATTCTAAAAAATATTAAATTTTGACACGTTAGAACACGTTTTAATATTATGTAATATTTTTAATTTATGTAGTATATATTAATTTAGTATTCAATAATTTAACAAAAAGAGAGAGCTAAATTTTTAATACCCATCAATTTTGTAAAGAAACATAATATATCCCAAATGTTTATATTAAACTCAATAAAATCATAATCATAATCTAACGAATCTTATAGTTGGAACTCAAAATGCAACGTAACGTGACCTTTGAACATTTTTTGAGTCTTTGCAACGAATATTGGAGTGTCTGGAAGTGTCAGAATGTCAGACACGTGTCGAAAAATGTCGGACATGACACATCAAGATTTTTGAAGTGTCGGTGCTTCATAGTTTAATAGTGTTGGAAATTGATAGAAAAATTAAACATGAATGCTAAGTATCCCCACTTTTAAAGGTTTTATAAGAGTTATATTGTAGGAAAAATGATTGTATAATGTTATAGAGATTTGTTTTGTGTGCCATAATTTTTTATTTTTTTTTCAAAAAATGTGAACTCCATAAAATATTGTGTGTGTAGGAAAATTTGTTGTATCATTTTAATTATTGAAACTTGAAAGTGTGATAGAAAATATGCAGCTGCTCACTTCAAAAAGGCACATATGTACATCCACATAACGCTGTCGTTACGCAAAAACAGACGGGGACAAAAAAAAGAGGCAGCAAATTCAAACACGCTTCAAAAGAAAACTACATTTACCTACCTATAGTAGTAAAGTAGAGTAGTGAGGAACAGTTACAGACCGTTATTCAACGTGCCACGTCATCCTTTAACAACTATTTAAAAAGTTGGGCCCCACTAATAGCCATCGCCGAATTTGCACGGCATGAAAACGAATGCCTAACGGGACAGTTGGATTTCCGAGTCACCTAATCCCCACGGTTCGGACCGTCTCCCGGAGGCGAACCGGTTCATAGAACCCAAACCGAGCGGTTCACTTTGGACCGATTCTTCGAACGACGCGTCTTTTCGGCTCGCCGTATTGCTACCCCGCGCTTTCCTGCTGCAGCTTCTCTTCTTTGATGATGAATCCCGCGGCGGAAGATCGGGCTTCTGAACCGGTTTTCCTTTTCGGCCGGACCGGAAAATAGCGCGAACTCTTTCAAACAAACCGGTTTTCTTTCTTTGGCTACGCGACGATTTTTGCCTGATGACGGCGGGGACGGCTGCAACGGCTGTGGCGGAGGAGCAGGAAATGGACCTCTGACGAGTTCTCAACCTGCGATTCCGGTCACGCTTAGATCTCACTCTCCCCATGCACGAAACCTTCGGGGACGAAGGTTCTATCACGGCTGTTTCCGGTTTTCCTCCGACCGACGTGCTCCGCTTGGGAAACAACCTTGCGTTTCCCGGCCTGTGGTTGCGGCGGTTCTTTGCGTCGGCGAAGGAAGTTTTATGAGGCATTGGCAAGCCAATGATCGCGGCTTTGGATTTCAAGTTCTTGGAGAATCGCTGAGAGTTGGAATTGGAGCTAGGATTCAAGTTCGTGGAAATTGAGTTTCCTTTGGTAGATTCACTTCTCTCGTAGACGGCGTTCCGGTCCCACCAATCGAACTCCGCGTCCCCGGAGAGCCAGAACGACTCCGGCGGCGAGTCCATGGGATCATCGCCGTACGCGAGGGTCTCGCAGGTGATTTTCCGGTCGGCGGCACCGCCCGCACAGGCTGAAACCAGCGTTTCCAAATCAACCTGTGGCATCGCAATTGATGAACCCTAAATTAGAACGAAGAGAGAGAGAGAGTTTGGAGGGTTTAAACTATAAAGATTGTTGAGTGGTGGTGCTCTGGCGGTGGTTTTTGTGCTGTATTTATATGAATGAATGAACATTCCCAGTTATCGTTTTTCTTCTAGAAAGAGAGAGAGAGAGAGAGAGGGGTCAAAAGAATACGAAAGGAAAGTCGAAGCAAAATGCATATAGTAATAATATAGGATTTAGTGTTTGTTATTTTAAATGATATAAGTTATGTTATTTTAGGGAAGAGATAGACACAGAAAATAAAAATCATGAGAGAGAAAGCGGATGATTTATTTTAATTTAAAATTTAAAATTTAAATAAAAAAACTATTCTGTATTTATCTCTCTTAAAATAACATAACTTTACGTCGTTTAAAATAAGAGACACTTTTCTCAATAATATAACATAAAATAGGTCAGGTCGTTGGTTGGTTTGTATTTTGTTAAATGTAAAACCACTTGGTTCGAAAAGTTGTTACTTCCTAGTTTCTAACGGCTTTTTGACCCTTATAACCCTTTACTAATAAATAATTACTAAATTGATCTTCATTATAAATTATTTCAAAAATTTAACCCCCCTAAAAAACATAACACCAATCTGTCTCTGTTTGACCGTTGACTACTACGCCTACCCGGGTACACCCTTCCCTACCTGGGTATTTTTTGAAATTTTTTGTATACCCGGGTAAGGAAGAGTGTACCCGGGTATTATTTTTGATTGCTTGAATTATTTACCCGGGTAGGGATGAGTGTACCCGGGTAAATATTCTTTATTTTAGTGATTAGTGATTCATTACTTAATTACTTGCCACGCGTTCTCTGTTTCTCGTTCTTTATGGTTTCCATGAACAGCGTTAGTGTTCATTTCTTTACTTTTTTTTTTACTAAGCATCTACCTAATTAACTTATCTAAAAATGCTTTCGAGGAACCGCAAGCATTGGCACAATACGTGTTTGAATTATTGTGGGTTAATAAGAAGAAGATTTACCCGGGTACACTCATTCTTACCCGGGTAAATAATTCAAAAAATCAAGAACAATACCCGGGTACACCCCTCCCTACCCGGGTATACAAAAATTTTCAAAAAATACTCGGGTAGGGAGGGGTGTACCCGGGTAGGCTTGATGGTCAACGGTCAAACATGGGCAGATTAGTGTTTTGTTTTTTGAAGAGGTTAAATTTTTGAAATAATTTATAATGAAGGTCAATTTGGTAATTAATTATTAGTAAAGGGTTATAAGGGTCAAAAAACCAGTTTCTAACTTGTATCTAAAAACCAATTTTTAGATATAAATATGGGCTTTACTAATCTACTGTTGCATAAGGGAGATTATCTCCTATCACTCTCACAATCATATAATGGGACCCACGTAATTATAAAATAAACAAATACAAATAAAAAACTTAAAAGGCCAATGTCTCTGTAGAAAAATCAACTACTCTCCTGCGGATGGAGAGTAGTTTTTCCCTATAAATATATAAAAAAAAAAATTGTACTGTCTTCTACTTGACATGACATGGCTTACCCTACGGTTTGACTCTTGTTAAGTTGGTTCAGTGTTGTTGGGCAGAGTTATCCATTCGAAGAAGTTACACATAAATTAAACGAGAAGGTTAAAATGGTAAATATAATCATGGGTATATGACATAGTCACATATGTGAGCTCTACTCTATTCACAAGGTTAATGACGTACCATGCGGGACGAAGAAGCTTACTAAGAGTCTGTTTGGATGACCTTTTTTTTCTTCAAAAGCTATTTTTTTTTTTTTTTAAAAAGCACTTCTCGAAAAAAGTCTGTTTGGATGCCTACTTTTAAGAAAAGCAGAAGTCATAAAAAAAGCTAAAAATCTACTTTTTTCGGAAGCTAAAAATTTTAGCTTTTAAGAAAAGCAGAAGTCAAAAGTCAAATATTTTTTTCAAAAAAAAAAAAATATTTTAAAAAAATCTAAATAACTGTAACTTTTATAAAAAATACTTTTAAAATAAAGAAGTGATAAAAAAGACTTTTTTCAAAAGTCGATACAAACGACCTCTAACTAGTGTTGTCACTTATAGTGTTGTCACTTATTTGCAATTGGAATAAAGATCCTATATCTTTGTGGATGTCTACACTTACTGGAACTCCATATATAGTGCCACCATGCCAAGATAGTGAGATAGTTTATCATTTTAGAAATTTGAGAATGCATGGTCGGTTAAGAGTAATATTTTTATTTTTGTAAATGATATATATATTGTCAAACTAAGTTTAAATTAAGATAGATCGACTAAAAGAAACCGAACTTAAACATTAAAGGTTAACAAAAAAAATTTACCGAATAAAAAAGGTTAACAAAATTGTAACCATTATGTGTTTATTTGAGCTTGGCTCGTTAGCTCATAAAGTCATTATAAAAGTGTTTAACACAATACAGCTATTACAAAACTATTGAATATTACTATCCATTGCTATTGCAAAGAAGTTACATACTGAGATCAGCAATTTTTTGACACACTCATTATTTATTATTTTTATTTTAATAATAAGAGAATGAGGTGGAAATTAGAAATATTGTTTACGGTAGTGAATAAAAATGATCATGCACACTAATTTACAAAGTGAAAAAAAATTAATATCAAATTATTATTATTATTAGGAAAAAATATTATCATTTTAAATGACACAATTTTGTGTCATTTTAAATGAAACGACCGTATTTTATGAATGAGAGAGAAAGATAGTATATTGTAAAGGAGATAAAAGATAAAAGCTATGTAGCACCGATACGACACGCGACACGTGACACGACACGACACGACACTCCGACACGTCAATCTTAAAAAATTATGGATTTCGACACGTTGGGACACGTTTTAATATTAAATAATATTTTTAATTTATATAGTGTATATTTCATTTAATATTTAATAATTTAATAAAAAATGAAACTAAATTAATAATACCCATCAACACGTTATAAAGATGGAAACTTTAATAAAAAAAATAAGAACTGGGATGAGAGAGAGATATAATATCAGATAGAGAGATCAAATCATATTAGAGAGAGATACAACAAGAGCGTGATGAGAATTGACAACAATGATGCTGAGATGATCTCTTATCTACTTAAGGGGAAAAAAGACAAAAAGATAAAATTGATATGATCAGGTGGAAGCTTTATTAATATATTTTAACTTTTTAGAAAAAATAAATTTTTTAAAAAAAAATTAAAAAAAAATTAAAAAAAATTACGAAAATGCCATTTGACCGTGTCGGACACGGTCAAATTCGCGTGTCGGAATAGTCAACGTGTCGGAAAAAGTCAACCGCGTGTCCGACACCGTGTAGGAGCGTGTCGCCGTGTCGGACCCGACTCTTCCTGTTTTTACAAGTGTCCGTACTTCCTTGGATAAAAGAACCACCAAAATATAATCGTTTAAATACAAATTATGTCGTTTAAAATGAAAAATATTTTATTATTATTATTATTATTATTATTATTATCACCGCATTTTATTGATAATATGATAGGGTACTTCCTTATTCATGCACCCCAGTATTATTCGGCAAAATTACGCGTTACGTCTGCTGATGATTGATGAAGAGGTTATAAATGTGATGGACTACTAGTGTTTGTGTTAAGTACTTTAATCTGTATAATTTTCCGATATATAGTATGATATACCCGTTGGCTTGTTATGATCTCAGATCCCTACTTGATGACATGGGCTATAGCTTCATTATTAGAGGCTGGGATGTATAATCTCGCAACAAAGAACTATCGTTATGATCCTATATGGTTAGAGTCAAAATCAATCGTATTACCTAAAGATAAAATTCTGTTTACTTTCCAACTTTCGGAAATTAGGTGTGACTTAAGAATAGAAGGATGTTTGACAATTGTGTATGAGTAATACAAGTCAAGTTATACCAAATCAGTATTCAAAATGCCCAACTTTATGCAAGAACATAGTTTGACAATTATGTTAGAACAAAGTTTGACAATTATGATATGAAGATGAAAATGTTTCCGGGTTTAATTAAGTTATCAAGATAAATGATGTGGTGAACAAAGGCCAATCTTAGGTGAATATTCTCATTCAAGATACCTTTATATGTTGGGACACGGTCTCTCAAATAGTCACACGGAAGTAGGCTTACCGGTCGGCACAACTAGCGAGCTGATTGGGACACTATATATAGTCTTACGAGTCAGTCACCTTTAGAAAACAACAAGTAGACCATAAACTCAGAAAGACAGGGAAAAGCAAAAAAATGAGAAATGGAGAAGAAGACACAATAGGTTTTAACATGAAAAACCTCCTCTAAGGCAGATGAGAAAAAATCATGGGACACTAGTTCAGAAAACTTCCATTATGAAATAGAAAGATTACAAGAGATTCAAACTTCCCTAATCTCACTAAAGGTACACTTAAACCTCACAAACAATAGTGGTACACTCAATCTTCACCAACAATAATGGTTACAAGTTCTTCTTTAAAGAAGTGTCTCTCTCTCAAACTTCTCTTCAGAGGAATCTCACACTCACAGTGCTTAACAAGCTCTCGAAATGACTCTCGTCAACTATTATAGAGAGTTTCTTATGATTAAATAGGTAAGGAGAAACCCTACAACTTCTAGAACCTTTACCAATGATGAGATGTGCAATATTTATTGAGGTGACTGTCAAACATTGAGCCATGCACCTATAAATGCGATGCATGCCAAGCCTCCAAGCATTAAATGAAGGAACACACTCCAATAAATCTCCTCCTTCTGACTTTAATGCTAGGGTCAGTTTCGGTCAGGCTCAGCAGCCTCGGCACCATAAAAGCAGTCTTCACATTTCCTTGCACCGATTGGCTTTGTCATCATGTACCTACCCATTCCGATCAATACGTACCTTTGCAAGTTCAAGTTGTTTGTCTTCTATCACCGTCCTGATCCAGTGATACCTCACATCAATATGTTTCATACGGGAGTGATAGAAAGAATTCTTCGCTAAGTGGATTGCACTTTGATTATCACACTTCAGCTCCTATTTGTCTTGTTCATGGTCAAGTTAAAGGAGGAACTTCTTCATCAACATCATCTCCTTTCAAGCTTTGGTCGCTGCTATGTACTCAGCCTCAGTCGTTGAAAGTGAAACACATTTCTACAGCTTTGATTGCCAGGAGAA